TATATCTGTAAGTGTTAGTTGTTGCCATCCACCGTGAATCAGCCTGTATTGATATATAAATTCAAGAGTGGAGACCTACATAAATCGAGTTGCTCGTTTGGGGTTATATATTTCAAGTTTTTAATTCATTTATTAATTCCCAAGGCTTCCAACAAATTCATTTTCTTCCCTTTATTACATGTGTAGGATTTTCAGATTATCTGTACTTATCTTGTGAAAATATTCTTGTAAATATAATAATTTATACCTACATAGTCCCATTCTAGCAGATATTTTCATGGACACACTAGAAAATACCCTCATCCTCAATAACCTTTCTTAGAAATACATTGTGTTTTGGTTCATATAAGTTTATGACGTACTGGTGGGTTTTGATGGTTCAAGCATACAAATTAATCAATTTTCAAATTTCAAACTGCAAGAATCAATCAGTTCTAAAGAAAACAGATTTACTTTGAAGCAAGTCACCCTAAAATATCCAAAACATCCGAGTAAGAAAAAGGAGAATATAGGCAAATACCATTACAGAATTATCTTAGTACATAATTGAAAAATAATTACAAATACCTGATACGGATTGTACATATCCCTTGGGTCCCGGTGTCTTCTATACCTCTCCTTCTCTTTTTCTCTCCCTCTCTTATCTCTGTGATCTTTCTCTTGTACCCTTTCTCTCACAGATTCATGCATCGAGTCCGATCTGCTAGAAGGTCTCGACCTGCTATCGTGCTCATAATCATAATCGTACCTACTTCCGTAATAATAATCGCCTCTCCTGTAATCTCTCGGATCTCTCCGACGCCTGTCTCTGTCTTTTTCCTTGCGCAAGCTGCTGTATTTTCTTTCATACTCTCGGTCTCTGTCATCGGAGTGTCTTCTTTCTTTATCACTGTAGTAGTCTGTATCCTCCTGATAACAGAATAAAAGTGGGGTCAGAGAAGAAAACCTGAGGGTAAAATTTTTAAAAACCTACCTCATAACGCCTATCTTTGTACCTTCTTCTATCGTATTTTTTATCTCTAGGAACGTCGTTATATCGAGCTCTGTCTCTCTCCCGATTATTATCTGGTTCCCTTTCTCTGTCTCGTTTGATTTTTTCCGAAGATCGTTTATCTCTCGAACTTCTTGGAGGTTTTCTGTGTTCTCTATCACTATCACTACTTTCTTGTCTACTTGGTTTTCTTGCAACAGGGTCTGGCAGACTGGTGTTAGATGTTTGACCATCAGTGAGATTTTCTCCCACGGCCATGTTGCGAACCGAGTTGGTAATGTTGGAAATCTCATTTTCGTCGGTCTGACCATCAATGTAATCCCTCCTATCAAACATAACAACAGTTAAAGTGATAATCACCTTTTGTGGTGACAGCAGTGGGATTAAACTGTTAATTTTACAAGAAATTCAAAAAACAACAAACCTCTCCGGTTCCTTCACAGATCTGCTACTACTTTTCTCAGTAGTAGAAGTAGATGTATTTCTGATCTGGTTGTCGGCTCCCCCTATAATTTGTGAGCGATTACTAGTCGCCAACGGTGGGCTCACAGTTGGTTTCACGGTGGCTGGTGGAGTATCAGCACCAATAGTCGCCGATCTTGGTTGCGGCGCATGTTGAACCAATTGGTTGAATTCTGGTTCGGAATCATTGTCATCTTGCTCTTGTTGCAGTCGACGCAATGAATTTTCAGGTGAACTTGATTCTCCAGGAATCATTCTGTGTAAACCTTCCGGAGGGCCTGACGTGTCGAACGGAGCCCTTCACAGAAAATTCTTGTTTACGATACAATACAACAAATTAGGCAAAATTGGTGATGGGTGGGGAGTAAGGTTTATAAAAAGGATTTCAATAACACTTAAAAGTAAGGTTGAGTCAAAAAATATTTGTTGATAACTTTATAATTTCAAATCTGAAATCAGATATTCAATAAAAAAATTATATGAATGTATTGATATTGTATGCTCTTTCAGTAAGTATTTCTTCATCCATGAGGTTTATACATGAATAGAATTGCTACTTCTACATTATATGAACCTATCGAACTAGTCACAAGATAAGCTGTAATCAGATATAAGGTATTGAAAAATATAATCGTAACACATAAACTGTGAAAGCAATATAATCAAAATTATTATTTGAAGAAAATATTTATAAAAAGTCAAAATTGTGCACTTATGTTTTGGACACCACAAGTTTTATTGTAAAAGATTTTAGAATGTTTCTGAAATGTCTCCTATTATTCAATATCTTATATTTTATATCTAGAACGTTACTAAACACATTGTGATATTTGATCCCCACATATTTTGGTGAATATTGAGGAATTTTAGTCTTGCGTCATGTAAATTAATATTTTAATTTTTTCCTAAAATATAATCTCTTTCCTTTATGTACATTAAGAGAAGCACGTGTGAACTGGGTGGAAAAAAAAACTCAGCTTCCCAGCTGAGTTTATGGTCTGAATTTATCGAGAGTAATACCACAAAACCTCAAATTTTTTAAAATAAATTTCCATTTTTTAACAAAAACTTCGAGAGCAACCAACATGATAGAACCTCAAGTAGTTTTATCCTTATAAAGATGTGTAGACCATGCATAGAAGTTACTTTCAAATACAAATTGGAAGAAAAACCTTCTTGAAACAACTACTTTCATATCAAAGAGCTGAAATACTCACAGTTGCTGGTCTGTATATATATATGAGATGTGTCTCTACGTTCATAAGAATAAAGAAAAATTTACCGCAAACGAGCAAGACCACCCATACTCAATTAGAACTAGAGGGTTGTCGATAGCGAATCCTCACCGAACCTCCCTCTATCAAAAGAGTCACCTATACCTTGGACCCAAACTGTATAACAAGCTAAATGTTTCTATTAAGGACTCAATGAACATCTGAATTTTCAAAAGACAATTGAAAAAATATCTTATTGAAAGTAACTGCTACACCGTTGACAAGTTTTATTTGTTACTCTCGATAAAAAAACAGTTAATTACCTTCATATGTACAGTTTAGTATCTGTCGTGTTTTGTTGTTTTATATTTATATATATTTGTTTTTAGTTATACATGGACGTCTTCCTTGTTACGGTATGTAAATGTTTATTGTAATGCTTTCATACTGTTCAAACAAGTAAAATAAATATTATTATCATTATTATTACACAAAAGAAGTACTTTAAAAAAAAACTATTTTTATATGAACATTGATATTATTATATTAAGATAAAAGAAGTTATCCAGATTGGTACTGAAGAAGCAATAAGATAAGTGTCGTATTCCGAAACATCAGATGTCTCCATTGAGGATGCCTATGTTATATTTAAATGAAATTTTACCTCTTTCATACACTTTATTGTGTAGCAATGATATCTGATTCAATTCCAAAACTAGTCTTACCACTCTCTAATTCTACTTGAATCAAAATTTTCTTTGTAACATGTGACCGTTGATTATACTCCTTTCATATAATTGATAGACATGTAGCACTGAGGATATTTAAAGTAAAAAAAGTAAATAGTGTAAGGAAAAGAAAGGTTTTGACTTTCTACTTTTCCATTTTGTGGAATTGTGTTGTGGAATTGGCCGCGGTGGTAGTGCGCCCGACTCACGATCGGAAGGTCGTGGGTTCGATTCCTGCCTCGACCAGATATTTTTCTCGAGAGAATTTATCTGGTTGAATCTGGGATGATTCTGCAACCGTGTTAGGAATTACACGTTATAAGGTAAGACCTCGCTGGTCCTTAGCTCGCACAAGTTCTCAACTCCTGAGAGTTGTCGTTCTGCTGATTAACGGAAAATCAGATTTTTTTAAACAGATTTTCATACAAAAAAATGTGGGAATCTTCCAAAGAAAGGAAGAAAGCAATCGATTTAAAAAAATTAACTCTATACAAAAATGTGTAGATCTAGCAAAGAAGTAACTTTCTGACACAAAGTGGAAGAAAAAAACCCTCTCGAAATTGATTGCTTTCTTCCTATCTTTGGAAGATTATCACATTTTTTTTGTATAATGATAGAAAAGTAGAATGCCAAAACCTTTATTTCCAAAAAAATTCATCTCTTCTAAAGATATACGCCATTCAGTTTTTTATTACAAATACTGCATATTGCTACAAACATTATCAATTGTAGATGCTGTAATGATGAGAAACGCACCCAATCTGCAAATTCAAAACAATACACTGCAGTAGGTTTTTTAATATTTTTTTAATAGTACACTCACTTGGGATCGTCATTCTGAGTCAAGACTGACTGAACGCTAGAAACCGTCTCTGTCTGCCCCAGAACCATCCTACTCAAACCCGGTGGTGGCTCATCTCCGAAACTCCCCAGGTTCCCTATGTTCTCGCTTTGCTCCATCTGTCCTGGAACCATGCGACTAAGACCAGGAGGTGGTAAGGTATCGCTGACTTCCTGCCTCACACTATCCTCTCTCTCCTGGTTATAATCTGGCAAATTACCTTCGGAAAGTTGGCCCGTTTCCAGATACTGATTCCTGTCATTAATGGGAGCTTCGTTGTTATCTGGCAAATTTGTCACAGGCTTCGCCCTTTGGAAAGATAGGTTGGGCATTGAATCAGGTTGTTCTGAATTATCTGGAAGCGTCTCCAAATTTACTTGCTGACTGTGAAAACTACCCATTTGGAATACGTTTTGCCGAGTATCAGGAGGCATGACGGCTGAACCTCTAAACTTACTCGTTTTGTGACCGATGCCCTCTGTACGCTTGTAAGGATTCTTAGAATCATCCGAACCTCTGGAAGGCGGCATTAGTGGAGGTGTCAAGGTATTCTTAGGTGGTGGAGGAGTAGGATTAACACTTGGAGACAATTCCTGCTTGATATTGGATACTATTTCTTTATTTTCATAAGTATCACCTTTCATAGGAACTTCTTCTTGGTTCTGTGTCGTGGCCAAGTCGTTTCCAGATATGGGAGAGTGGCTGACTGTTGAACTGCGTGACATCATGTGACTTTTATCACTCTCTGAAGTCTGAACGACGTCATCAGATGATTCCTGCGAAATTTGAGACTCGGTCGACCACTGGGGTGTATCCAGTTTTTTGCGTACAGCTGAGAGCCTAGAATTGTCTTGCACATGGTCTAAGTGGAGTGAGTCGGAATTATTTTCAGTTTTTACGAGGGGACTCGTTTTAGGAAACTGATCTCTGATTTCGGATGCATTATCTCCAACAGGCCTCGTCTGAACTGGATTAACAGGTTTTGCCTCTTCGATCCCCCAATTCCAAGTCTCATCATTGGCAAAACTATTGCCTGTAAAAATAATTGGTTTATGAATTAATAGTTGACGTACTAAGGTTTTAAAAATTTAGTTTAATAGACAAGGGATTCATCAGGAAAGTATTCACTGGAATACTTTTCTATAGACTGAACTGAACTATGACTGATATGAAAAAACAATAGGATATATGCAAATATTTGCTCATAGCTTAAAAAAGTCTCCACGAGACTGTGACATCCTGTGTTGCCAAGTGTGTCAGTAACTGTGTGTAATTTTGAAAACACATAAAATTGGAGGTGCTTCAAAATCCATGGTCCCTCACAGCAAGGAAATGTCTGCTGGTTGGATTGCCTATCAATTTCATAACACTGAGTCCGATTCTGTAATTTTTTTGGTGTTGTATTGTTGTGTTCGATAGTATTGTTACTACGCTTGTGTTTCAGTGTTATAGTTTTGAGTTATGGATTCTGAATGAAATAGAAATCATACAATTTTGGTGTTTCTGTGAAAAAAAATCATTGAAAAAAGTTCTCAAATACTGTATTCCGTCTATTGTAACAATTCTTTTCTCAGTTCTTGCATAGAATATTGCAAAAATGAGTAATTCATTTTATCTTTCCCTAATTAATGTAATAAGGGGAAGTGCCCCTTCAATCATTAAAAGCTCACTTCAAGCACAACCTGAGAAACTAAATTGATTATTAGAAATATCGACGCTGCACGCAACATTCAAACTTATGATATCAACGAATCACAACGTAACGCTAGTGAACATTTTGGGTTTTATCGTTGAACTGAACGAAAATAGCAAGACATGCCTATTTTTAAAGTATTGTTGTAAATCATGCCCTAAAAAAATAACGCCGGCCGCCACTGGTAGCCATAAACCATTTGTGTGAATGTACGATATTGGATGCTGCTCTAGATGCAGCGAGAATAATGCTAACGATTTAGAATAAATTCTGAAGAAATTTTCTACCACATTCGATTACGGTATATAAACGTAACAGTATACAAGTCAGTACTAGGGACTGTTTAGAAGATTTGTACTTGAACATTTTGTAATACAGATGCTACTTGTAATGTTTACAGTAACTAAAAAAATGGAATTAACACAAGAACACTTGCTTCACCTTTGGTAGAAAAGCATCACGTAGGGCACCTACTAGGTTATTTCAAAAGTTTTGTCCGTTTTAATGTTATGTGTTTTTGTAGCTCTATATTTCAATGAATATTGATTCTTCTGTGTCGTGGTATATACTGATCGATAGAGAATTTTGTACTCTATGCATTAATGATGTTCACTTTTTCCCAAATTTAATTTTTTTGCCTTTTTTCAGTTCCAGAGCGTTTAGCCTCGAAGATGAGACACGAAGTAGTGCGTTGGATGGCGGATTGGAATTATCACGTTTCGATGTCTGTTCTTCTTGCTCTTGAGCAACGAAAACAATCCTTTTTTGGATCGGATCGTCATATGTGTTGAAAAGTGGTTGGACACCGATTAGCCATCCAGGCACTTCACAAAGGTGAAAACCCATCAACAATCCCAATTTCCAAAACAAATATTGTTTTCAAACACCACAACTGCAACACTCTTCTCGACGCGCGTTTTACTAACCAAGTTGGCATCTTCAGGAAGTGAACTGGTCTCTATTTACATTCAACATGGTACACTTTCACTTTCGGACACCCAATTTCTGGTAGAAATTCGCGAAAAATTCTCTCCTGGAGGTTCCTGCTGATTTCAACAGAGCAATCGATACATATGAAGGTAAACAATGGGATGTTTGAAATGGAATTTTTGTTACTATTCAAAGTTCTCATGCCGCTTTTTGCTGTTTCCAGACTTTCAAAAGCCTCAAAAAAATCTAGTGCCATGTACTGATTTCATCAAGTTTAGACATACTTCATTTATTCTATGGCCGCCCCTCAAGGCGAGTTGAACGACACTAAATTTTGCTAATCTCCAAAATCGGATATGTGCTGCGTGTTCTTTGAAACGAGTTTAAATACCTCACTTAGCCTGACCAATGTGAAAAATACATTGCATAGCATAGTAAAAGAATTTTCAATAAAAAGATAGTTACGATTAAGATTCAATACAATGAAAAAAGTACTCACGGTATTGAAAAGTATCCCTAAAATAGAAAAGGGTCTATCAGCTGGCAAATTCTTCACTGCTTTTTTAAAATGAAGATTGCTTAGGACTGCAGTTCTTACTCATAATGATAATTTACCACCATTGAATGAGTACTTACCTGACAGCTATTTTAATTCTGAACCAGTTAAATTCCTAGGCGTTTATATTGATCCGGTACTGACATGGGAAAAGCATATTGCGTACCTCTCGGGTAAACTTTCAAGAACTATCTATCTAATAAGGAATCTAGTAAATAGTGTATCTCATAATGTATTAATGACAGCTTACTATAGTTTTTTTCACTCAGCTATGTTATATGCTATACTAAATTGGGGCCACTCAACCCACGCATCCAAAGCATTTAGTTTACAGCGAAAATGCATCAGAATTATAGCCCGCATAGGTTACCGGGAATGTTGTCGTCAAAAGTTTATGGAACTATGTATACTTACCTTGCCATGTGTCTACATATTGGAATGTCTATTGTATATGAAACAAAATCAAAACATGTATAGTAGACATTGCGATTTACACAACTATTCTACTCGAAACAGTCAAAGAATTGTACAAAACTATTTGCGACTCTCCCGTACTAGAGATGGAACTAGCTATCATTGCATAAATATGTACAATGTCCTTCCAGTAGAAGTGAAAAACTTACCTTTCACACAGTTTAAGAACAAAATAAAACTATACCTAAAAAGAAAAGCGTTCTATAGCACTGAGGAGTACCTTCAAAATAATTTTAGGGACATGCATTAAATCACTTAATTCTTTTTAACAATGTCTGTGCACCATTTTTTTTTATATCTGTAAGTGTTAGTTGTCAAGTATACCGTTTATATGCATTTATTGTAAATTTTTATCTAATAACGTATTTTTTTTTTCTTTTCTTTTCGACTTGTGTAAATACTGCTGTATGTTAGCATCAATAAATGATTATTATTATTATTATTATTATTATTATATTTTTCATTGAATTCAAGGCGTGGTTGGAAGTCAGAATGCATAATTACTCTTTCGAGTATCATAAAGGGTGTAAACAAAAACTTTTCATAAATCCGTCAAATTGTTTCAAGAACGAACAGTCCATCGAGTATTGAATTTTAATCGACAGTGGAAAATTTCCTACAAGACTCTCTAGGTCTGTAGTTCTTACTCATAATGATAAGTGATGATAATTTACCACCATTGTACGAGTAGTATATCTGTCTGTTTAAAATGTTATACTTATGTCATGTATTTAAAATATGTTTGAAATATATTTTTTCGTTAACCAGCTGTCGCACCCCTACGAACAACAACCCTCAGAAGTCGAGACTTGTGCGAGCTAAGGATTAACGAGGTCTTACCTTTTAACGTGTGATTCCTAACACGGGTTGGTGTGAAGTGAAAATCGATCGTTCAGCTTGGGGCTTGAACCACCGTCCCACACAGTGTTAATTCGAGTGAGTGAACAAAGCACCCACCTCGAACCGACCAGCTACCGACCGACAAAATCTTTGATTAAAACCAAGGCGTTGCTGGAAGTCAGAAACCATAATGGCTTTTTTAAGTATTATTAAGGATGCAAACAAAAAGTTTTCATAAATCCGTCGAACTGTTTCGAGAATGGACAGTTCAACGCCTATTGAAATTTTATCAATAGTGGAAAATTTTCTGCAAGACTCTCTAAGTTTGACTTTACAGTCACTTCATAGCCCTCTTCTGTAATATCTGTCTACAACTTGAATTCAGCACTATTTTTCATTGCCATTTTGATGATACAATGGGAAAATCTGAATTCACTGATTTTCCAAAACAATACATTTTCTCATATTCAAAAAAAAATTAATTATGCGAAATATAAATACAATTATGTATGCTTCTGACGTGAAAGTTCACATTAATCAATGATGACGTGTTAGGAATCAAACGTTGAAAGGTAAGACCTCCTTAGTCCTTAGCTCGTACAAGTTTCGACTTCTGAGAGTTGTTATTCGTAGGGATGCGACAGCTGGTTAACGGAAAAAAATATTTCAAAGACATGACATAAGTATGGACTTTATGCATGTCTTAAATCAGAGATGTTCTAAACACACTGATACCGACATGTTGTCATAATTACTTGAACGGTGGTCAAAAAATGTATTTATCTGACGGAAGTTTAGAATATGGAATTCTCTGAAAAACCTTGCACTAGATATCAATACATTAGAGGAAGTATAGATATGGAAATATAGAAGTATAGTATACAAATATAGATAACGCATGTGTCGTTTTTAGTTACTATCAAAGAGTTATCATTATATATACAAAAATACCAACCTATTTCGCTTCCTTGCTTCTGAGCAGTAGCATTTTCATTTTGCTGAATGTTCGAATTATCCTCATCACCCCATGCCCAGTCTCCCCAAGCATCTCCTTCATTCTGCTGCCCAGTTTGAGGCACTGCATTTCCATAAACATTATTTTGATTACCCAGCTGATTATATTGAGGAATTCCATAATTCTGCTGTTGAAACCTTGAAAAAATTTAATGACCAATGAATCAAAGAATACAAAAAAGAAAAAACAAAAATTTCATCATACCCAGTATTATTCGGGAACACTCCTGCTTGAGGATTTCCATACTGTTGTCCGTAAGCCTGCTGGACATTTTGGTTGTAACCTTGAGTATTGTAAGGTTGTTGCCAATAATTTTGATGTGTCTGAGTAGGTTGTTGGTTAGGTACTGGTTGGTACTGTGATTGCTGTGGTTGATACTGTGTTTGCTGGGGTTGGTACCAGTTATGCTGCTGTTGATTTTGCCATTGGTGCTAAAATTCAGTATAATGTCTAGTCGGAAAAACAGTAACCTAAGACTGAAGAAATATCTACCACTATATTTTTGATTAATATGAAAAAACTTTCCTAGTAATGAAATTTGTTTGAGATGATAATTTCAACTACCAATTTCGAAAGCATGACTGACCAACGAATTAGATGGAAAGCCGAAGATGGCATCACAGTTGAAAATATGGTAATGAAATTATAAGTTTTTTGATATCAGTTTTCATGGGTTACTCGGCCAGAATTGTTTTTGTAATTGACATTCAGACTAAAGCATTCGAGAATATGTAATCTCATGTGATTTAAATATCGAAAACGTGACAAATAAATGTTTAAATTGAAATCCGTAATTCACTTGAAACTGTTAATGCTTATTTGCAAAAGCAAAAAACATCTGTTTGTGGAGATTTTCATTACTTTCTAGAAACCATTGGAAACATAATTTTAAAAATACAATTTATATGCAGGATAGTTCAACACAAAATACGCACTTGCCTCCGTGGGCTTTTATAATAATTCTTTCAAAACTACTCGGATTTGTCATTTTTTTTTAGAGTGCCATATTTCAAACACTCTTCTCAACTCTTCGATACGACATTCTTTTTGGCCTTGGTTCCAGGTCAGTCGAGGATCTATTATAACTCCCAGATAAACAAACAGAGCTGAGTTTTTCATACATTTTTTAAATAAGAATTTACGGAGCTTTTTGCAGCATTACTGGACAAATGTCGTCTAGTCTTAGCGACTTTCTCTCCTTCTGTTTTTGTATACACCCAGATATTATATGTACGAGGTCTGTTCACAAAATAAAGTGAATGTTTAAATTCAAAAAATGGATCGAAGAATTTGCATTAAACTTCGTGTAAAAAATGGAATCAAGTTCTCAAAAACACTTGAAATGATGACAGTGGCATACGGTGATTGTACTCTGAGTCATAACATTTTCTAGAAGTGGTACAAGCTTTTCACAGAAGGTCGAGAGGACCTGAATGACGACTCTCGCCCTGGACGCCCAAGCACATCAACAATCGATGAAGATGTTGAGAAAGTGAAGAAAATTGTTATGGAGAATCATCGAATTACTATTAGAGAAGCTGTTGAGGATGTCGGCATATCGTCTGGCTCATGCCATACAATTCTTTGTGAATTTTGGGCATCAGGCATGTGGCAGCGAAGTTCATTCCAAAATTGCTGAATTTTGACCAAAAAAAAAACAGTCCCATGAGCATCGCTCAGGAATTGTTGAATGACGTCAACGGCGACGATCCAGATTTGCTTAAAAGGGTCCTAATTGGTGACGAATCATAGTTATATGATTATAACATAGAAACCAAGCTCCAATTGTCCCAATGGAAGAGCCCAGGAGAGCCAAGACCAAAAAAAGGACGCTAAGTTCGATAAAATGTCAAGGTTTTGCTCACTGTTTCCTGCGATTACCATAGCGTAGTGCAACAGGAGTTCTTGCCACATGGTCAGACGGTCGGTCGGTAGCTAAGCGGTTCGACGTGGGTGCTTTTTTCACTCACTCGAATTGACTGCCGTGTTCGTCGGTGGTTCAATCCCTAGTCTGAACGATCGATTTTCACTTGCTATCGTCCAACCCGTGTTAGGAATCACTCGTTAGAAGACAAGACCTCGTTAATCCTTAGCTCGCACAAGTTTCGACTTCTGAGGGTTGTCGTTCGTAGAGGTGCGACAGCTGGTTAATGGAAAAACAGTTTTTAAATAGATTTTTTTATCCTGAAGTTATGCGCCGCTAGCGGGAAGCAATACGAAGAAAACGTCCGGTATTATGGAAAAACAATTAATTGCTTTTGCATCACGATATGCACTTGCTTAATCGTCATTGCTTGTCTGTAATTTTTGCCCCCCTGCGACTTTTTCTGTTCACAAGATTGAAAAGACCCATGAAAGTACGGCGTTTTGCGACGGTTGAGCAGATAGAAACCAAATCGTTGAGAGGGCCCAAGGACATACCATGCCACAAGTGTATTATATCTCAGGGGGCTACTTCGAAGGGGACAAAATAGAAATTGATGAATAAATATTTTTTGGAAAAAATGAAAATTCACCTCCTTTTTGAACAGACCTCGTATCGTTTACTCGTGTATAATATCTTTCTTCAAATTTTTCAGCATAATACAAACACCTCCTCAAAAACATTTTGAAGCACACTGTACGTTTGAAAATAACTCAAAGTTATAAGTAATCCGCGATGTATATGAAAAATTATTAGAAATACGTTTTGTCCATTTTTGAGAACCGTCTCATTCGTAACTCACCATGTACACATACAAAATACAAATTATTTTGCCAACGGTGTAATTCGCAACTTTTTTGTGGTTTGCGGAACAGTTGGCAGTTGTCCCTTTCACGCATGTCACATTACCAGCTGTCAATCACGAAAATCATGGATTTCAAATGGTGACATTATCAAAATTTTTCGTAGAACCTGCAAGAATCATTTCAAACATGGCTTGTCCGGTAATTCGTATTAATATTATTACATAAACCTCAATCGAAATTGCATCAAATACCTGAAACATCTGAGCCACTTATTTTTTCTAACCACAAACATTCATTTTAGGTGAAGGCACAGTGCAAAACACGAGCCGGATCAGGAAAAAACTACAAAATAGTGATGGTCCGTCACGGAGAATCTGAATGGAACAAGCTAAATCTTTTTTGCGGGTGGTACAATGCCGAATTGAGCGACAGAGGAAAACAGGAAGGGCAAAATGCCGGAAAAGCCTTGAAAGATGCCGGTTACAAATTCGACTTGGCTTTTACGTCAGTTCTGAAAAGAGCTAACGATACAATGAACTTGATCTTACAGGTGATTCGAGAAAAAAATTTTTTTTTAATGAAGTTTTTCTAAAATCCTGTAGACATACAATTGTAGATTGTTTCATATAACTAAGTTAAAGCTATTTTTCGGGTATATTGGCCTTTGTTTGAAGGTTTTATGCCTGAGGTTTCGTCTACGACGGCGTAGACATTATCAAAGGCGATAAAGCAACTGACGAAGTGTTCTGGTTGTCCTCGAGGTAGATAGTGCAGTAATCCAGGATCCTGATAAACTCAGAATTCAGCATCTTGAAATAAGTCAATAAGGCCACACATCCAAAATCAAGATTAATGTCGTTATCAATCTATCTTGTGATGAATCTACTATTAGACTCATCATTATTTGTTATGAATATAACCAAAACCGAATTTTCAAAAAAGGCTTAAATTTCACAGGTTGCAAATATTACATAATATACAATTATCATACTTTTTATATTTCATTTAACAGGAACTTGGGCAGACAGATTTGCCGTTTCAAAAAACTTGGAGGTTGAATGAAAGACACTATGGAGGTCTGACAGGTAAGTTTTTTCGAGACAAGTTGAAATATATTTGAATACTCATAGTGCATATTATACTTATCACATCTAGCGCTTGGAAATAAATCTTCCTTTACTGAAATTCCCTTTTAGAACATTCCATATGTTGTGGTTTCGACAATTGAGTTGGAATGTTCAGAATATAGTTTTGCACAAAACTACATTATGTGGTGGGTACTCAATATGTCGAATATTGTTTATAGTTGAATATTTTCTATCTTTATTGATTGAAATGTCAACTATTATACAAATTATTGAAATCCTAGTATTCAAATCTGGAATTTATCAGCAAATACTTAAAAGGTAACAACAATGATTTAACATAATAAGTAGACTCAATGAAATTGTGAATAAAAAGAGATTTGTTATCTATTTGGCGTTTTTATTGATGAAACATTATTATTTGTCAACTTGAAAACCACATCATTTTCAAAACACTAACATTTAAAGATAATATAATTGATAAAAAAGGATTTGTTCACTTAATTTTCAGTCCTTTGAACTGAATGGAATAAGAGTCTAAATTTTCTTTTTATATGTGTGGGAAACAGCATTGTAAATTTTGACAGGGCTGACCCGTTACTTGATGAAACAATGTTTGTGAAAATAGTTTAATTATTATCATGGGAAATATTGTTAATCACACAACTAGTGAAAGATCTAATAATTATAGTTTTCAAAAATTTTTGTTATTACAGGCCTAAACAAACTCGATACTGTAGCTAAGTATGGCGAGGAACAAGTAGCAATATGGCGTCGTAGCTTCGATGTTCCTCCGCCTCCAATAACTCCTGAAAACCCCTACTATGAAACGATTATCAATGATCCCATTTACAACGATGGACCTCCAAAAGACCAGTTTCCACTGTTCGAATCCTTGAAATTGACAATTGAAAGAACACTGCCATTCTGGAATGACTGTATTGTTCCAGAAATAAAAAGTGGAAAAAGTATTCTCATAGCAGCTCATGGTAACAGCTTGAGAGGGATTGTCAAACATCTTGATCAGATGTCTAATGATGAAATAATGAAACTGAATCTGCCGACGGGAATACCCTTCTTGTACGTTTTGGATGAAAATATGAAACCTGTGCCGAACGGTAGCTTACAGTTTCTGGGCGATCCGGAAACGGTCAAAAAAGCAATGGAAGAAGTTGCAAACCAAGCCAAAGCAAAGAAGTGAATGATATAAAAATGTATTTCAACTGAAATTTTGTGCATCTTTTGCAAGAGTAAATTAATTTCAATAAAGTTTGAGTAATGATGTTGATATTTTTAATTAATAAATAAATAAATGTCATTTTGATATGTCATCTCATAGAATATGCATAAATAGATATAAGAATAGAATAAGAAAACATAACAACATACCGACAGAAATTCCAACAATAAACATAATTCAAGTTCTTTCTAGAAAAAAAATAGGTTTTTCCACTTGATATACACAGGCTAATTATAGTGTATTCCAATTTAATCAGTTAATTATAGTGTATTCCATCTTGAGGTGATTTTGTGGTAAATAATACACCGTATTGACCGTACGACCATGTGGCAAGAACTCCTGATGCACTAGTGATAGTAATCGAAGAGAACAGTGAGCAAAACCTTGTCATTTGATCGTCTTGGCTCTCCTGCGTTCTTCCACTGGGACAATTGGACTTTGGTTTCGATGTCATAGGTTAGGTTAGGTTCAAAGTGAGTGGGTCCATTCGACCCTCCACCGCAACCCGCAAGGGTTTATTCTGGCTCACACCTATTCACACTCTGCCAAATAAACCCAGCTTCTTAACGAAGCCGATTAGTTTGTATGGTGAGTGGTCTTTCAGGTCAGATGGTAAGAGTAAGGCTCTTCCGAACTCTAAGAACCTGATTCGGTCCACAGCGGGGCATGCACAAAGTATATGCTCTGCTGTTTCATCATTTTTCAAACAGAGGCGACACACACTGTCTTCTGACAGTCCAAGTTTCTGCATATGTTGATTCAAATGACAGTGACCTGTAAGAATGACTGTTAGACATCGTAGTTTATCCCTAGTGTAGTCCAACATCTGTTTGAAGGGTGAATAAACGCCTTGTAGTGAGCCAATCCTGGAAGATTCTGCCAGAAGTCCATAAATCTTCTTGCCATCCAGGTGTTCAGTTTGTTTGGCAAAGCCTAAGGCGATGCCAATGACATGTTCTGGTCCGATGAAGCTGCTTGCAGCACCCTCCTTTGCAAGGGAGTCAGCAGCTTCGTTGCCTTCCAGGCCAGTATGGCCAGGAATCCAACCCAGAGACAATCTGTCAAGTCTTTCTATCAAGGAGAGTAGTTTTTGGCAATTTGCTACCAATTTAGACGTTGACGTTAACATTCACATTATTTTTTCATTTCCACGTCATTGTACGTGAGTTAATTCTTGATGTGATTCAAATCTACTCTCAATGTTTCTAAATCAAACATTATGACTTTCACATGTACATTCGATTATTCACCTATTTAGAGAGAGGTATTCAAAAAATATGTTGTAAAAAATTTCTTGAATTGTATGTATACAGTTGAGTGAAATTTGATACCCACATTTGGTTTCTTATCAGGACCCTCTGGGAAACTAACAATTTTCAGAAAAATCGTGAAATCCAATTAAACGGCAGTTGATATCGAATTCCCACTCTCGAACAGTTTGACATATCGTTAGATGATGTTAACTTTTTTTCTGAACTTTAAAAACATGAACTTTTTCCCCAACACATAATTCCATATGATACGACGGGATTCTATATAAACGTAGTAATATACCAGTAAGAATTTAATAGTTACTTTATTTCTTAGCTGTTTAACTTATGTACAAGAAAATCTTTCACAACAAGCTAGGTGATGAGCAAACATAAAATTTAAGACAAAGTTTGAACAAACTATTATGCTGATGTGGTAGACACACCTGAAGTTTCTGACATAGAATCTATGCCCTTTATAGAATAGAATAGAACTTTATTCGTCACTGAAGTTATTACAAAAAGGAGTATAATGTATAACTTATTGGACTCGTCACAAAATATGATGTAAATTTAGTATTTAGTCTACATATAAAAATCAGCACGTGAAGAAGTATAAAAAACAAATATAGACATATAAAATTATACCTAATTACAACATATTAGTTCATTTCTCTAGAAATTCCTCTAACGAGTAGAATGCCCTGGATTCTAAATACTTGTACAGGGAGTTTTTGAAAATCCTCAGATCGGCAAGATCAATATTGCTATTAAACAAATCTATAAATCAATTATAGCAGAGAATACCTTTATATATGTGCGGTTTTGCCCAATGGTTAATCTTGAGTATGGTTGATGAAGGTTACCACATTTTCTTGTATCGTACTTGTGTAAACTGCTATTTTTAAGAATAGAATTCTCTTGTGTTTTAATATTCAGAGTACTTTGAAATATAACTATTGAATACACTGTGAGTTTGGATTATAAATATCTGATTTAGGTAGCTTGAGCTACCCCAAAACATTAGGCCATAACTGAGTGTTGATTGAACCAATCAATAGTATGCCAATTTCAGAGTTTCAGTGGATACAGTATTTTTCAGTTGTCTTATTACAAAACAGATTTTACTCAGCTTGGTGGTTGTTTCGTTTATATGATTTTTCCATGTCATTTTATAATACAATATAACTCCCAGAAAGCGAGCAACATCAATCTGCTCAATAATGAATACCAATAATGATTCAGGGGTTTGAAATGATAATAACAAATTCCCGCTTGCAGCAATAAGAACTGGGTAAAAAAACTATATGGACAAAGTCTCTGGCAAAAATCTGAAGTTTTCTTATTAGTCAGTGGGCTATGCTTAAAGACTGGCAGTAAACAAATCTAAAGAAATGAACTTTAAACGTTCAAGCCAGTCTCGACTATACCTACACAGTAGGTAGTGCAGGAATCTTCACAAAAAATGTATGCAATTGGCCAATTGCATATGCAGGAAATTTTCTGTGAAGATTCCTGAACTGATCCCTGTCGGATATAATCCAACGCCCTTCGTGGTATTACCCAGGGGAGTAGTTGTTTTCTGATAGGCGTCAGTCCATTCAACCTACTTTGTAGGTATATTCGAAACTGGCTTGAACATTTAAAGTTAATTTCTTTAGAAAAATTTGAAGGTAACTTAAGTTAGCTTCAAAGGAGTGGGTTTATTCAATCTTCCACTCACACCAATTCAAACTCTACCAAATGATTTCATTTTTCTTAAACCATTAATACCCAGAGATTCTTTAAGAACTAATTGAATTTTTTTTGCCAAATCTTACTTCTGCAATACATTTACTCCAGAATATTTATGTATCGTAATTATTAGTACATACTTCTAGATACATACATAACAGAATATATTAAACTCATTATTCATTTCATCTAGGTTTGCGTTCATAATTTTACTTAGAGTATGATGAACTAACTTTGCATCGTTCATAAACATACTTTAGTATTATAAAACTCATACTCTGTGACGTTCGAAGTAAGCTCTGCTTTCAAATAGGGTGAAGTCATAATTTTAACTATTATGATATATTAAAAACTGAATATAAGACAAATATTTGGTGTTGATACGGAAAATGTAAAACAATATGTATATTATGAGTACTAACCCCTGCATTTGATTCAAAAATTCTGTTGAATGGTTACACCCAGTATTAGAAGTCAATGTATTTCTGATCTTCTGTTCTATCGGCGAGAGAAGGTTCATGAATGCAACCTATTTGAAGTTAGATTGAACAAGTGGCATAGAGTGTCGATTGGTTCACAGTGAGTTTTTGATAAACTTTGTGTTGGCTAGCAGTACAACTGGTAAGTACCTATTTCGTAACCTCAATAGATTTTATTCAAAATATTTGAACTTGTTGGCATTGTACAGATGATATAGGTTGTTGCCGGATTTATAGGACTACCAAGATATACCAGTCCTAAATTGTAAGAGTCGCTAATGACCCCCTTTTGCAAATGAAGTATACCATCATAGTTAGTTTGGCAAATAGAGGAGCGTATGGTATATAATTTTCCGCTCCAGAAAGCGTCCTCTCTCACAGCGGCTAAACTCCTGGAAGAAGCTTGCCTTCTGAAGACAGAGGAGACAGTGCAGAAGGTTTTGGTTGACGAAGAATGTAATGATGCAAAGTGATTATGTTCAGCACAACTGAATGCTGGAGCTAAATTCTATTACAAAGATAAAGACAAAATTATATTAACGCTATATGATATACTTGCGTAGTCAGAAATGCCGAATGAGGCCAGCCTCAAAAAAATTAAAATTGATAAACATGAAATATTATATGGCAGGGGGTTCTTATTTTCGGAAAAGACTATAGGACAGAGACATTTATGCAAGATACCTCACAGAGGTTAGTCTTGCAGATGTTACTCGTTCATCCAACAGCCACACTATACTAAAATTAGTTGAGTAGATCATCTATAGACCGGTTTCGAGGTATAACCTCTCATCAGTTCAGAAAAGATCCAACCCAAACACTAGTGTGCCTGGGACTCAATTGACTCAAACACGGCTTGACTGCATGTATGAAACCTCCTTCTAAGAGAAAGATTGTTGACTAGTGACAAATCCTTCTCCTGAACAAAGCCCCAAGCGGGGAAGTAATACCTACTGTGTAGGTATGTTGGGAGAGATGAATGTAAGATTCCATTTATATACGTATGTATCTCTCCTCGATACCTAAGCCTTGAGACTTATTCAAATGCTCTGCTGTTTCGTTTTCCAAACAGAAACGGCAATCAATGTATTCCGACAGTTCAAGTCTTTTCAAATAATGATTCAGAAGACAGTAACCTGTAAGTAGGTATGCTAGACAAAATAGGTCATTCCTACTTCAAAATCTGGAGATAACTCAACTGTTACACCCACAACTTTCAAAAAAAAGCTTTTCCAACAGGAGTTAAAATTTTGCCTAATTTTTGGGACAACAATTGGTGTGAATTTGGATTATGGCTTGAGGGAAAAAAACTGTTTAAATTCTCATTTTTCATAAGTTAATCCTAAAAATTATTAACTTTTCAATACTATATAGTTTATACACTATTAGGACATACTTCAAAATATACTAGATTACATTGATAATTTCCAAATTTAAGAGATCACTGTTTTTATTTTTCTTCAAAACAGTAATGTTCACCAAAGCTTTGTCAAAGAGAATTGCCCTTTTGACAAGTAAGCATATTTACCATTATTATTGGTCTGCCATCGAATAAAGATAATATAATTAATCGATTGACATGACAGATGGCTCTTAAGCGGCAAAAAAGAATCTATTCACTATTCCCTCTACCATTCCTTATGATGAATGTTATAGTAAATAGATTTCAGAGTCATGGATAATTAGGCTGATATGGCTCGCAAAATGGAAAAAGATGGTAAGGAAAGTTCCCATTAATGTTGAGAGAGAAGTAGGAGCAAGAATGAAACTTGTTGTTAAGCAGCAACTATTAAGATTTATCACAATAACAACTCACATTTTTCTTTGGCCTAGACAACAGACACTTCACGTATCATAGTACTCAAAAGTAGTTACAATAACTTGGTAGACAAAGCAATTAATTGTAATCCAATTAATTTGAAATGTTACTCACCTCTTTAGTGTTGGAATGTTGGTTGGGGTTGTACATTTGCACATTTGGGGCAGGTGCTGGACTCGGTGCACTAGGACCCCTTTTTTTCATCCACGCCATCTCTTACCCTGACAAAAAAGGTTTACCATTAAATACTCAACATAGTGCAAACTTATAGAAATATTGCCTAATAAGTTATTACACAAAGAATAGTTGATATTTTTGAAAATTATTCTAAATAAATCAAATACAGTAACAGTAGTAACAAATATTGATAATACGTTACATAAATCCGATAATTTAAATTATTCATGAAATTCACCTTTGGAAATCCAATTTTCATAACATATGTTGTGAATTTCAGCAGGAATCATTGATCTTATGAACAACTTTCATCTTGGACGTGTGGCTGGACTTTCTGGTTATTTAAATCAATTTAATTTCGAAGTGGATTTCAACAGAAAAATATACACACAATTTCCCTTTATCGTAATCAACTTTGTAACTAATTTATAAATTCATCAGCTAAATTAAATCCCCAGTTTTAGGGAAAGTGGTCACTAATCTGCAATTTACATACAGTTTTGTCTACGTGATGTTTATCTATCCTTTTTTAACTTTTTGGTTAAGATAGGATACATACTTCAGTTGAAAAAGGAAGGATGATATATGTCAAACGAAAACAATTTCCTCCCAATAGGATTTCCAATAAGAAATGTCCAACTGTGTGTTTTGTGGGATTGAACGTTCGATCATCGACCCAACAGATAAGTTGTGATAACACCTCTTATCACAGAACGCTAAAATTGGGAGTAGAGTACAGTCAGTACAGTGTCCAGTTTGGGAGGCATAAATGGTGCAAAAATGATTCGTACTGAAGTAATAAATTGAATCACTGAATAGCCCGCCATACACACAGAGGTTTGTCTGAGAACTTTATCCAGCACGGTTTCAGTCTGCGGTCTTTCGCGGATTTGGCATGTGACAAACTTCTTTGTTACTCCATGAACTTCACAAGATATGTCCGCAGACAACTCTGACGTATTTAATCTGTTGCAGACAAAACTGTTGGTTAGTGGCAAAATCTTTCAATTTGTCTGCCGACTTTGCCAAAACTGTGGAATTCAGTCTTGATACAAGTTTTTAGTGATGTCTTTCCGGTTGTTGGTGACATGTATAGTTGTTGGTGACAAAATTTTTAGCAGAAATACAAATAAGAAAAAAGTTGCATTGTGTTTGGGTATGATTAATACAAATCTTCTGACAAATACTTTTTACTCTATGACCACAAAACGCCGAAACAAATGGGTGAAAAAATGGTTACTGGAAAAAGAAACTCTTGAGTCATTTGCCTTTATTAAAGCAATTGAGGCAAAACGAACCTCAAAATTTTGGAAACTATTGGAGAATGGACAGTGCAACTTTTGATACATTATTGTCTATGGTGAAAGAAAGATTAACAAAGCAGCACACTGCCATGCGAGAACCAATATCTCAAGGGGAACGTTTGGTAGCAACGCTTAGATTTCTTGCAACAGGCAGATCTTATGAAGATCTAAAATACTCCGTTGGAATTTCTGCTCAAGCACTGGGCTACATAATACCATAATACCACATTCCGGTCCGCACCAGGATACACTTTTTTGCAATATTGAATCAAAGCTTCATAACCCATATTCTTTAAATTTTTGTTGACATAGTCATTTGACTTTATTTTCCATGAAGCTGGATGACTTTTATAGGTACATTTCTATGAACTCAGTTAAAAACTCTTTGCCAATAAAACGACTGTCTATGCTTTCCTCCATATTTTCACATAAGAATTTGAGCCCTCTTGCTCAACCCGTCACAGAAAAAACTGTTAATGTATGGTACCAAGAAACAACTGTCAAATTTAACTTTCAGACAAGTCTGCATGATATGACCGTAGCGTGCCTGGCCCGTGCTCAACCATTAACACACAGATTTATGGACGGATATGGATGGATAAAGTGTTCAGACAAACCTCTGTGTGTATGGCGGGCTAATGGTATTGTTGGAATCCATGATTGTTTGGTATAACTGTAGTACCGGTGGAACAGATTTAAAAATGAAGCCAAGACAAGATTTTGGTGTATTTATCCAGAAGATTGATATGCTCACCGATGAATTTCAGATCTCACTCAACCTGTATGTAGGGACCACAGAACTTTAACTACCTTTAATCTATTACCACAGATTAAATATGCTATTACTGTGTTGGGTCACAGAAGAATAAACGACCAGAATGGAGTGTATTTCTACATGTATTTCGCGACAGTTGAAACTTGGCTTCCGTAGTAGAGAAGAGAAAAAATCTCAAGCACACTTTCTTAGTGTATTTTGTAAATTTGACCTCAAACTAATGACTCAAATGTTTTCTATTTTCATATCACAACGTAACTTTTTCAGTTAACCTGATCTTATTCACTATTTACATTATTCAGAGAATTTTTGAGTTAAATGTCAGAAAAACATAAATCCGAGTTTGTAATCGAATATATTACCAAAACAATAGTGTGGTTTCTGAGCTTTCGCATAATTGTTGCAATAATAATAATTACAATTTTTCCCAATATATAGAATCAATTTCCAATACACTTTCACTACAACAGTAGCTTCCTTGGTTGAATTGATGTCCAAGTGGACATCAGTCCAACTGATAATTTTGAAAATTTGTAATTATTATCATAGATAATATTATCGATTTTTACCAAGTAATGGGTCAATGTATTGAAAAAAAAAGTTTTAATAACTAACAAAAAAGTTCAAAACGCAAGTGACTTGTAAATAGAATAATATATAACATAAATGTCGAGAGTTTTCCTTCCTAAATACGGAGGCCATGTTGCAACTGTCGCAAGACATATTTCTTGCGCAGACAGACCTCAATCTTCTGAGAAAAAATGTCTAAGGCAATTGACAAAAAAAATCCGTTTTGTCCACAAAAAAGTGATAATTTCCTGTACCGCATCACAAACTAGATACAGAAAGGGGGAGGTCCAACACATTCCTCAAACTATTCGATTCTCTGAACTCGAACTTCAGCCACAGTATTGCTTTATAAGCTTTCTACTGAGCTTCAGCTTCCACCACGGTGGCGCTACAAAATAGCAAAGGTCATCAAAATTGGCTTCCTCAAATTAAAAGCACCACCCACGTGTCTCCCTTCTGATTGTTCACTGTTCTGTAGTTCTGTGCATTAGTATCGCCGTCTGAGTTGTTAACAGATAACGAAAATATCTAGATCTCTATCTATGATTTGATGTTCACAGAAAGCACAGTATACTATATTCAGTAATCCCACTTCGGGTGATTTTTGGTTTGAATTTTCTACACGCAGACCCAGGAGTTGCAGTCTCAGGTCTGCGCAAACGACGAGTTCAAGACAGGCACGCAATCAAAGCGTTTAAACACTGCTCAACATAACAAATATTCATATAACCTGCTCAAAAAAATACAGTCGATGAAAACCATGTTGGGCACCTAAGAAAATTGTACAAATGATAATTTTGCATTTGTGTAATATTCAAGTAACCCAGATCATTT